TACATATATACATGTGTATAAATATATGTATATGCCGAATATAACCCCTGTTTGTATCGGATGGATCTGGTAATTGTGCTTTACCGGTCCGATGTTGACTACGAAGGAACGTCACGTTAGGGATTAACCCGTCTGCTGGAAGTATAGGTGGAAACTTCAGTCTACGTGGAGAGGACGCAAAGCGCGTAAAACAGTCTCATTTTCCATGGCCTGCTTTTTCCGAAGCCAGTCACCGTGAGGAATGACTATTCATACTTCGATGAGTTTTTCTTCTTCCTCTTCTAATTTTCAGTACTTCCAGTCTTCCTTCTGTTATATAACAGTAGAAGACTTCTTTTCGTTAAGGCAATTGCATTCTATATCATTCTCCAAATTCGCCCATCAATCCCTCCCGTTCCTCATCTCCATTGGTTCAAGAAATGCACTATTATTACTTATCATCAGAATAAATTGATGCAAAGAAGTTGAAAAGTCGAAGTCTTTTAAGTCAACCAAATGCATTGTCTAGCAGTTTCTTTGAATTATCTTAACAGGCTTGCTTTTCATTCAGGCACTTACATCCCATACCAGTTCTTATAATTTCCCTCCAGAGTCCAGACCAACCACTTCTTGAAATTCACCCATCAATCCCTCCAGTTCCTCATCCCCATCCGTTCGAGAATATGAACTACTTCCTCCTTTTTGTTATGATACTCTCGGTTTTCTCTGAGACTCCGTTGTCATCGAGCAACCCTGATTTGTACGGACCCTGCAGTAAGGAGTTCAAGTGTGGGAATGTTTCTGCAGGCTTTCCATTCTGGGGAGGAGAAGATCAAAGACCGCCTGAATGTGGCCATCCAGGACTTCAACTCCAGTGCGAGGATAATCATGCTGCTATTTTAGAAATTCTCAGTGTTCGATATCGAGTTCTTGATATTAAAAAGGAAACCAAAATACTGAAGATTGCAAGGGAGGACTATAAGGGTGGAATTTGTCGCCATAATATCCAGAACACCAACCTCGATGCCACTCTCTTTGTCAGTGCTCCAGGTTATGTAAATATTACATTACTCTATGACTGCCCGGTGGATTTACCCGCACTTAAAAACTTCAGCTGCGGTTTCCATGGATTCAATTCTAGCAAGAATTTCATTCATCCAGAAGTATTTCATGGTCCTATGTTTTGTTCTGCCAGTGCCTCTGTCCTGGTTCATGTACCTTCGCCTACAGTAGAGGCCATCGAACAATCCTTAAAAGATGGATTTGAAATAAAATGGAAGGTAGACGATGAGCGCTGTCCGAAGTGCCTTAAATCCAATGGATCCTGTGGCATTGACCCTGGGAATAAAACGGTTTGCCACTGTCAGGAACCAGGTAGTTCATTGGAAGGATGTCCTGTTTTTCCCCTGCCTCCTGGCGCTTCCCAACCACCACAACCACCATCGAACGCCAATAAGCGAGGTAAGTACCTTATGTCAAGGTATTGTTATAGTATAGAAGAAGACATTAAGAGACTGTTTGGTGTGGTTTGTGAAAACTTTTGCTTTTTGAACATTGTTATGAGTGATAAATTTAAATTTTTATTGGACAAAAAATAAAGATTTAGCTTTTAGAAAGATGAAAAAGTGAGTAAAAAGAAAGTTTATGAAAAGTTTGGATTTGAAACTTTTGAACTTTTACTGTTTAAGAGGTTATTGAGGTTAAAAAAATATTTAAAAGTGTAAGTTTTTAAGAAGGAAATTTAAATTCATGAGACATGAATAGTGTCCAAAAGCTGAAGCTCCTAGGAACTGATACAAACAGGCCCTAAAAGAGTCTTGCTGGTTTTTGCCCTGAATTTTTTTTTTTTTAATCATCTGCATATTGTTGATCGTAGACATAGTAATCATCTGATTAGGTAGCAAATTCTGATTCAAAAGTCTCACTCACCAAGCCATTACTTTCCCATTTATTTTAAGTGTTGCCACACCACAACAAGCTTTAATTTTAGTGCACTAAAAAGTAAATCAAATGATTAGCTTGTTTGGTGTAGCTTGTAAGAGCTTTTGCTTTTTAAGTATTGTTATAATTGATAAATTTAAATTTTTATTGGAGGGAAAATAGAGCTTTTGCTTTTAGAGATATGAAAAAGTGAGTAAAAATGGAGTTTATGAAAAATCTGGATTTAAAACTTTTGAACTTTTACTATTTAAGAGTTTTTTGAGATTAAAAAAATATTTAAACGTGTAAGTTTTTAAGAATAAAATTTAAATTCATGAAACATGAATAGCATCCAAAAGTTGAAGCTCCTAAGAGCTGATCCAAACAGGTCCTAAGAACACAATCAACTTGGAGAATGCTATGAACACTTGTGAGAAGTATTTATATTCTTTTGGTGTTAGGTGGCTGACGACATATTTTAGTCAGTAGTCAGAGACTGTATTCAAGCAAATTCTCATACCTTGATTATATTTTCCTATTAAGAAGGCATCTTATTGCTAACTCTCAACTTCAAATCGGTAGTTGACTACACTAGTCCCTTTCAGTCATATAGGTTTATTCAGGTAGCAGTCTTGTTAAATGCAACAGGAAGCTCAATTGATTTCATATCCATTGTTCTGTTTCCTTCCTAATATCTCTCTCTAGTTCTTTAAAAATGCAATGCACCTGTTCTTCCGTCCCTCTTCCTTCTATCTTGATCCTTCTTTTTACCATGATCAAACTTCAAACCTGTTTTTGTGCCTATGATTTATAATACTCAAACTTCAGCCAAGCTTTTAAATTTGGAAACATAGAAAATGTGAGCTACCTTTTCTGAGGAGTCAACAGGGCAGATAACTGTGGTCAACCAATGTTTGAGCTACCCTTCCATGGATAGGAAAGCAAAGTGCGTAAAGCAGTTTTTTTTTCCATTCCTTTGTCCATTTCTTTTTCGAGGTAGACTCTAGGTTTTTTTTTTTTCCACTTTGATTGAGCAATTTCCTTGTTATAAACTCTGTCATAATCTTCAATCTAGCATGTCATTACATAGGCATCATCCTCTAGTACCGTCTATGGAATCAGGATGGATTAGCCAGATGGTCGTAGCCATCACACA